GGAAATGTTTATAACTGCCCTATATGCTGTTTGGCATTTGTTTATTAATAGAAATTTGAATGATGCTATAAAAGCAATCAACTAATTGTTTCAGATTATTCCAACTATCCAATTAATCAAAATATTGCCATTATGATTCCTCATTAGTATTTTTGATTAATACAAGGTTGTAAGCTTAGTCAATTAGTGTCATGATTCATGAATATAATAAATTCATTGAAATTAATGTTTCCCATTATTTCTGTTTTGGTTATTCCAACTATTCAAATATTCCTATTATGTTTGTTTGCTATTAAGTATAAAGCTACACAATGGGCTGTCTTTGTTCAGCCCACCATGGTATCAAAATGTTATTTTAGCTATCTCATGAGAACAATCCAATTTTTGGATGGTTGTATTTTTAGCTGTCTTTTGACAATAGTTGATTAATTGAATGTAATCATTGAATAGGCCTAATGATGAATCAGTTAGCATATTCCACTAATTGTGGCATAAGTTAAGTCTATAAATATATATTTTTATGTATTTTTAGAACTTGTTTTTTGTTCTTTTTTCTTTTCAAATGTGGTTAAAAAGAGATTAGATATTAGAGGACTATTTAAATTATGTACTTTTGTCATAATTTTTATTTATTTTACTAATAACTGCCATTTTTTCCACAGATAGAGTTATTCCATGTGGTAACACCCAAGAGTGGGAATATTTTTACCACAAAAATTTAACCAATTCCAATCTTGGATGTGTTCTCAACCACAGATAACCTGTCAGTTGAATTCAAGATGTGAGTGATCATTGTTTGTTTCATATACTTGCACTGAGCTAAATATTTCATACCTCTAAAAAGCCTGATAGGTACAACAGTTCGCATAAAAGTTCTAACAAGTTTAGAAATTTGCTTGGGACTTTCATATTCAAACAGAAAAACGATTGGTATTAATATTAGTTAGTTAATATAATTAGAAACCTAATTTTTTTAAGGAATGTACAAGATTTTAGCTAATTTTACAGAAACTTTACATTTGAAACTTTTCAGCTGCTATATTGACTTCATGAAAATAAATTTATGTTTGTTGTGATGTCGAGAAACCCACTTGAAGTTAATAACTCCTAGAGATGGCTCATATGGGTAGTATAAAACAGAGCACGCATACAAATGCAGTAATGTTTCAGTCTGCTTAGGTCATCGTCATGCTAGGAGTAATTACAAACTGAGATCATGTCTTGTGAAATGAGAACAGCAGTAATGTTCTAGAGGCATTGTAACATAATTTGTGTTTATAATTTAAACTTCAAATAAAAACAGAATTACATAAGTGGTATTTAAAAAGTTATTAGTATTCTGTGGGTATAAAATTGTCTTTTGGCATTTGTTTAATGTTAGTTTGTGCTGTTGTATTATAAGTGCTTCTTTGATTTGTTTATGTTAGGCTATGTGTCTAGTATTTTAGTATTCCTGTATGTTCGAGTTGCAGCATTCAGAAACATGAGAGGGTATTTTTTGTTGTTGTTTAATGAACCTTGTTTCTATTTTTCAATTTATTTCACTAATGTAAAATTCATTACAGTTGTTTTACTATATTTTATAGATAATACTCGTATAGTGTTTGTCTTAGAATAGTCTTTACATAGTACGTATTTTATTTTTGTACCCAGTTTTTGGATGATTTTAATTGGGGGGTTGCTTGTTTAATGACAAGTTTTTTGAATGTTAGTTTTTTTTGTCTCTGATTTCTGGTATATGTGGTAGTATACATATATGTGGTAGTATACATACATCAGTGTAGTGTTTTATTGTTGGTTGTTTTCTTGGATTTGGCATTATTGGTTGGGTATGAATTGTGAAGCGTTGAGGTTTCTGTGTATAATTTTTTCTACAGTTTTACTTTGAGGAAACTTTTTCTAGTCAGTGAAGTGTTGTGTTAGATGGCTAATTTCATCATTCAGGTTGTTGGGTGATCAGAGCTTAATTAGGCTTTTTATTATGCTAAGTTTTTGTTTTATGTGCAGAACCCAGGGGATATAGGGCTAGTATGATTATATTTTTGTGAACTTTGGTTTTGAAAGGTGTATCAGCACTTGTAATATCGAGGATGAGAAATGTTTATCTTATTTGTGTTTTATAATAAGTTTTATACTATCCTTATAACTGTCTTCACATTTTATTAAAAATATGTATACATATAAAGATGATAATGCTATGAAAAATACTTATTTCATTATAAAAGTTCTGTATAATTATTATTATTCTTTACACTAGTCTCTCAATGGTGAGTTGGAAGGTAAAGTTGGTTTTTTGAGGTAAATAAAGTCACAGATGTCAGCCAAATTCACAGTACAGAACTACTCAGGAAATCACATAGTTTGACCAACAATTGAAATAACCCAGATATTTATACAATTAAAAGAGTATCATGTGTGGGGAACTTTTTAAACTTCATTGAACTGTGCAAAAATGAAATTGGGAGTAGGGAAGTATGGATTATGTCACCATAAATGTAAAGTGGGGTAGATGTGTGTGTGTATATCGCAATACCATTATAGGTCCTGATTGTCAACTTATTGTCATAATGGGTAATGTCTGTGGTAGTAGCACCCAAATGAGTTGGGGATATCCCATCTATCAGACATTATACAAAGGCCGATGTCAATGTGTTGGTGGAATAGGTTTAACCTCGCAGTCATGGAGACATTCTCCTGGTCATTAGTTTCATTGAGAACTCTGTACCGAATCTCATATGTGAGTAGTCTAGACAGGTCATTTAACTATTTTAATTACTTTAAATACACAGCTTGCCTTTACATTTTATAAACTTTCTGCATTCAAATACAAAATACCACAACCAAAAAATGTTTTG